GGGTTGGCCTTAGGGATGGGAAAGTGAGATAAAAGAAGCAAACAAGAAAAAATGCTTATAGCTACATTCCCCATAACAGATGATTTTAAAAATCGGTGTATGCATTTATTTTGAAGTAGAAATTTAAAAAAAAAATGAAGAAAAAAATCAGACAAAGACAGAAAAAAGTTCAATATATCCAACTTCCTCACTTTTTTGGTTCACTATATCCACAAAAAATAACATTATACATGTATAGCAAGGCGCGGGATCGAACATTTCGTTCACTATATCCGGGAGTTCACTATAGCGGAGTTTGACTGTATTTAACACACAGCTAATAGAAAATCATATTTTAATAGAAGTATACAACAGTTCTNAGCTACTCTTTTCAGAGAAATCGACTAAATTTTGCTATCTTTTATAGTTAGTGAGATGAATTTTTAAAACCCCGGAGTTCTTTTATAGACACCCTGTATAATAAGTTCCCTTTCATTATTTCCTTGGATAAAATCTTTATTACCAATTAAATCAAACTTTAAAAAAATCTCAACCTGAACATATTTATAGAAAAATGTTTGACTTTATAATTTATTTAAAGAAAAAAAATCAATTGGTTTAAATCCAGTGATTGTAGCCTTGCCAATCTTGATACAGTCAGACTTCGATCCATCATTAACGCATCTTTCGTTTTCGGAACTTTTCGTAAACTTTTTTTGTCCTAAAATGTTTCGTTTATTTTTATTCAGAACACACTTTTTAAATTAATTAAAAAATCTTAATTATTTTTTATGAATTAAATGCCTATTACTATTCAAAATTATGAGTAAACGTAATAAATAACATTTAAAGCATATTTAATGCCAATTATGACTGGAAAGTATTGCAATTATTCTTTTTTGATGACTATAAGAATCCCTTAAATTCCCTATGTGTAAAATATTTAGTACATTATGCAACAATTATTATAAAATTTATATTTCCTAAAATCTGCTGGATTTTTTCCTGTTGGTAGCTATGCTTATAGTAAATTTATTAATTTTCCTATATTTTCTAGTCATTATTTGATATTTTGAGTTGATTGGCATTTGTAGTTTTCCCATATCTATAGTTCGTAATGCTAGGTTCTACTGTAGTGTGTTTTACTGTACAATTATTAAAAATTCAAAATCGTAGGAAAGATTTAGGATAAATATTATAATTAACAATGTGATCTTCAAAATATTCATAAGGGAAAAAACTTATTTTATGCTTCTTATTCAATATTTATTATCATGTTTTAGAGTGATGTATTAAGAATGAATAACTTACATTCATATATTTTTATGCATTTAAATGCTGAAATTTAACAGATTTTTTTAAAGTAATTTTTTCCCCCAAATGTAATTATTTAGCCAATTTATAAGGAATTTTTTTGCAAAAAATAGAATTTAGTGTCTTGTGACCTCTTTTCTTAACAGCAAAAAAATAAAAAAAGCACATCTAAGACTTATCTCTCTGTAATATAAAATATTTGAAGAAACCTAATATCAAAAATCTACTTCAAGGTGTAATAATTACCAAAAGAAAGATATTTTATTTTGAAAATACTAATTTCAAAGTGTTAAGTATTTAATCAACTACTTAATAAAAATTACCAATGACCTCGCAATTTTAATCTACACCAGAGGTGGCGAACCTTTATACACCAACGTGCCATTTTTTCTAAAACATTGTTTGATGAGGTCATAGACGTGCCGTGAAATGGTTTTGACTTCGTGATTATTGGGGAAATAATAATACTAAATACTATCAACTCAAAACTCTTTATTTACATTGACAAAATAAAAAACATTTTGCAATGTTTCAGTTATAAGCGTAATTCAACTTAAAGTAACATCAATGTAACTTCTGTTGTTGCAGATTAGATGACAAATAACTTATATTAGGTTGTAAGATGTTAGTTTAAGCAGGACTGTTAATTTTTTTGCTAGTTATTTATTGTTAGCATTAATTGTCAATTTTTTATTAATAATTGTTTATTATTTTGTGTGTTTTTTTGTGAATTTTAATTTAATTGTTACATATGCTTCATAGTGTAATACCATTTGTGTAATAACAAATGTGATCTTTGGCGTGCCCGAAATATTGCGTCGGGTGCCATATTGGTTCGCCATCCCTGATCTACACAATCAACTGAGACTCAACAAAAAACTTCTAACCACACAGCGTTCATTGATAACAAAAAACAAGCTATTGAAAAATTTGATTTCAAAGTGAACAGTAGATTGGTTGACAAAAAACAATTAAATGGAGATGAAAATTAGAAATAATGAATTTGGTTTATTGTTCTAATTAAACTGATGAATTCGAAGAAAGAAAAAAAAAGATAATTTTTGCACTCCTTGATTTGACTGTATTTTACCACGTTTATATCAACAAGCCTTCGTGTATGTCTGTTCGGGTGGAATTTTGTAATCAATTTTAAACCAACTTCTCGACTAGCTACAGACTTCAAATTTGGCACATAGTTCAGAATTGGATGAAAATGCATGAAAATGAAGAGAAAGAAGACATACAAAGTAAAATAAAATGAAAGAAAAATTAATATTTTCGCGATTGTCTTTTGTTGTCGATACGATTATTTCAAATTAGTGTCACATGTCAGTTGAAAAGTTTTGTGTACAGTGAGTGAAAAAATTGAGACTTTGGAAGTGAGTACAAAAAAAAATATCAAAATAAAAAGTAATATTCTTAAAAACCACGTTTTTGTAGTGGAGAATAATAATTAAAAAACAAAAATTTTAATAACAAAAAACGTGGTGCGCATAAAATATATAACAGTACATATACACATTTTCTTACTCATACACAGCCACATATACATCATGCACATGCATATACACAAACATATTCCACATTCAGATACAATTACAGATATACAAATATACATACACATATTCTCATGAGCACACATAGGTATACACACAAATATAACATTACTGTCAAACTTTTGTTTTTTTAATTACTATTCTCCACTACAAAAACGTGGTTTTTAAAAATATTGCTTTCTATTTTGATTTTTTTTTTACAAATAATCTAGAAGCTTACTACTCAATTTAATTATTCAACATTTATACAGTAATTTTAAGTGAAACAGTGAACTACAATATAGAAGTTAAGCAACAAGTGTTTTCCTTTTAAAATTAACAATTCATTTACAGTTACAATGTTAAAATTCAATTGAAATCAAGATAGCATTTTAATTGAAATTCACTTACTCTTCTCGTAGAAGCACTTTCAGGTCGAATGATGAGCCCAAAGGGTTTTTGTGGAAGTTCATTTGGGGGAGCATTTCCTGGAAGATGCAATTTATATTTCTGAAGATCAGCAATCGTTGCTTGAAGGGCTTCAATGGCTACATCATCATAATAACCAAAGTCTTGTTCAAGCTTTATTTGCAGATATTCAATCAATTCATCCATATCCATTTTCAATAGAGTTTCTATAATCAAATTTTTTATACATTATAATCAGCAGTGGAATTTAAATATTTTTAATAAAACATACTACAATAATTATATAACTATAATTATTTAAAATTAAAAGTCAGATTCAATCCGATAAAAATTTCCCTTATTTTTTTCACGACTGCACGGTGGGCCAGAAGACCATAATCTTTGGCTAAAAGTCAAAAATTAAATTTCAACTAAAATATGTTTAGGCAGCTTTAATATCGCCCAAGTTAAGTATTCATAATCATTCCATACATTATAATTTATTTTTTGGACTGACGAGAGTACAATGTAGTGAAAAATATGTTTAAAAAAATTTTTTTTTTAAATGTAACTTTTAAATTTATATTTCAGAAATGTATATACGGGGTGAGGTGATATATACCGTAATTCTGAAATTATGGTACAATTTTTCAATTTGTTGGATTAGTTAATACTCTTGACAAATTTATAGTTTATATCTTATCATTTGACATTGTACAATGTTTGAACCACTTTCGAAACTTATCTCCAAAAAGTTCCACGAGGTAATTAGCTAAACTTTTTTTTGTTGTCTTTGATGTTTCTTCTTTCGCAAAAAACCTGCCCCATTTTGCCCATATTGCAAAGGTGGACTAAATATACCAAAAAACAAAAATTATGTTTTTATTTTTTCCGCGTTACTTTGTAATATTACTTCGGAAATATAATTTGCTTTTAATTTTTAATATGAAAAGACGAAAATTATTATATTTTCATTGCTATATTTAATTATTTAAACGTACTATATATATATTTTGCTCGCCATATTTCAGCCGCCATCTTGTTTTTTTTTGTTGGTATTTTTAGTGTATTTCAAAATTTCAACTAGAATTCAATTTACCTGCACATGAAAATCCTAAATAAAAAAAAACCCAAATTTTGAAACAAATTTTATCGAAATACTAATTTTGGCCACGAAACCTTGGATGCTGGCCCACTGTGGACTGATGTGATTGAATTTCTCTGCTTTTGGCATAAATTTCATTATTAATTTTTAAGTTACGTCTTATTCTTTTGCATAAAATAAATTGCTAAACACTTATAGTTGCTATTAAAGTAAAATATCTTTGAGGATTTTAGACACTTAAATATCAAGCAAGAACCACATTAACGTGGTTTCTGCTTGAACAGCTTTTTATAAAAAATAGGCTATTTCATGAAGCTTAAGGAAAATCTTTTTACAGATAACATTTTACATTTGTTGTTGCTTAGTAATTACAAGGAAAATTTTAATTGATAAGAAAAATCAAAGAAATTTATCAACACTCCTCAAGTGCGTCCAAATAGAGAAGAAATATGATCCTTTAAGCAGTGAATTACTTGAAAAAAAAATTCCTTAACCATGCACAGTTCAACCCTGCTAGTTGTGACACCTTTTCGGTCGTGCAATGCTCACCAATGATGTTCTAGCTTGAAGGTGACACAAACAGTGCGCAAAATAAAAAACCGATCACCCTGACTAATAGTCGGGTCTTCACAGTCTAGGACTCAATCTTGATGATTGAAGGGGGTGACTTCAAACATGCTAATTAATTAGTGCAGACGATATATTAAATTATGAAATCAGATATAAAAAAACTTTTTTCGACGAATTCGGATTTCTGACCACCAAAATATACGGGGTAGCAGCAGTCTGGGAAATACGGTCCCCATAGTTTGACCAGGAAAGCGCTCCACAGTTTGGAACCCTTAACGTTAATTTTACTTATTGAATATTTTGCTATGTCTCGATAACATTTTAAGCAAATTTAAAAATTTTTGCTCACAATTATAAAACTCGTTTATCCAAACCATGATAAAAATGCACATTTTAAACAATGTAATTTTACTTGGAAAAATACAAAATTCAAGTGAAATCAGTCGAATAGTTCCTGAGAAATTTAATTTTAAAAACATAGCTTTTTTAAAATTCAATTTCTCAGGTTCTAATCAATTAAATTTTGTTTTTTCTCATACAAAATTACATCTTTTAAAATGAAGTAAAAAATTTTACACCTTACAATTCAAACATTTTTCAATCATTATTAAATAAAATAAAAAATAACAAATATTTACCAATAATTATATTTTTAATGGAATTATCTTCGGACAAACTAATTTTATAATTGTGTGGAAAACTTTTTCGATACACTTACAAATTTCTTAAGATATGGGGCGATATATGGAAAAAATAAAATTAACATTAAGGAATCATAATTTACAAAAGGGGTCCAGATCGCTCTTCTGACCAAAGTATGGTAAACATATTTCCTAAATTGTAACCACCACCTATATTTTGGAGCAGTATGATTATTCAGGGAAAATATGTTTTTGTGCCCGATTTCATAACTTATAAATATTGTTTGCACTAATAAGTTTAATCAATTTCAAATTGAATTTTGAAAATAATGCTAAATAATCAAGGAAACAAACACAGTTCAAGAGTCTAAGCTGCAATGATAATTTTGCTTTAAAATTAGATTTATTCTAACATTCTATAAATTTTTAACTATTAAAATGTACTTTCATTTTGCAACATGACCTGTTTTAAAATTCAGTTTACACTAATTTCATAAATTCTAAACGGGCATTCTGTAGTCATCTTACCTTGGGTTTCTTCCAATCATTGTTTATTTTTATTAAGTTATATAATTGTTTTAGCATTATTTTTTTTTAATGCAACAAAGCCCAAAAAATCTAGCTTTGAGCAGTTCTAATTTTTATAAATATTTTTTGTTACGGTTACATTTTAAGAGACGCCCGGTGGCTGAGTGGTAGCGCTTCGCGCTCCTGTGCCACAGGTCCTGGGTTTGATCCTCAGACCGGGCAAGGTTGACTCAGCCTTTCATCCCTTGAGTGGGTCGATAAATGAGTATCAAGCGTGCTTGGGAACAAAACACTGGGATTTTTGGCTGACCACCTATCCGGAACATTTGCTCCTGCACCCCAGAGCCCAAGGTCAAGAAAACTGAGATGGGCACAGTAGGCTTTGGTCCTCTATGGGCTGTCGTGCCACTGAGTTTAGTTTAGTTACATTTTAAGTTGTAAGTTTATTTATGTAAACAAAAGAAACTTGTACTTTTTTTTTGAATTATAAGACAAATCATGCTTCAATTACAAATACTTTAATACCTTATGCTTTATTTATAACACAATTCAATTTTATAAATACCATGACTTTGGGTAATTACCCAGAGCAATTGTAAATACCTTGGTAATTACTTGTTCACAACTGATCCAAAACTATAATTAAACTTTTCAGTACTCACTTTTGTGCAATTTTAACAGAGTGAATGACATGGCAGTTAAAATTATCTCTCCATCCAAAATATAAGCATCCCATAAACGTAATGTAAGAGTAAAAGGTACCTACAATATAAAAGAACAGAATGTTCATGGAGAAATATCAAACTTTTAAATAACAAATTAATAATGCTAGATAATCTCATTGTTAAAGCAACAGAACTTATTTATAGAAGTAATATTAGCATAACATGTTAGAAACCAAAAACAAGTAAAAGAGAAATTCTTAAGATGTGTATGTTAGCAAAAACAGACAATGTGTTCCTTGATAAAGTGCTGTTTCTGCAAACATACATATCTTTAGAATTTTTTTTTTTTTTTGTTGCTTGTGTTTGGTTTCCAACTTTTTATTTAAATTGTTCAAATAATACAAATTTGGCTTCAGTTGCTTTTAACACTTTCCCATTTTGACATATTATTTTGATGTTCTTTTTTTCTTAATATGTTTAAATCAATTTCATACTTTGATTGGATTAGCATACCATGTTAAGAGTTTTCAAATTAAAACTAACAGTGCAAGCATTAAAACTTAAGTTGACTTGTTTAAAATAAAAAGTATAATTTAATACTGCAAGACTTATAATGCAAAATAAAAGAAATGGAAAAAACAATTGAAATTTTTTTTCTAGTTTATTTTCATTGTCAGAAAGTTCAATTTTTCATTAATTAAATTTAACAAGAAATAAAATAAATCATTCACTCTTACATTATATTTAACCCTCAAAGCATTGAGCCCTAGAACAAAATCTTACTGACTTGTTCTACTGTCAATTAAAAATGCAACGCCCCTACACTTACACTAAAAACTTCTTTTTAAAAACACCTTTTTTAATGACATACACAATATTATACACATATTTTAATATGTGGCAATCAAATCATTAGATAAAAATATGCTTCCCCCCCACTATTCACAGGGCTGCCACTGGATGAAAACAAGAAAAATAGTTGCTTTAGTTGCATCATATCCTCCTATAATATAATTTTAATTATTTGTGCTGTAATAGCATAAAATTCAAATAACATGCACTTAGACACTCATATTTTATAAAAAATGTACATTTATTTGTGGATTTTCCAACAATATATTCTTTCACACTACGCATAAAAACAGGGAGTTTTATTTTTATCTGTTACAGAACAGTTGAATTTGAAACTTGAATTTCCTTTCTCGGTTCTAATTTGCAGCTGCTTAGTTTAGACATTAAAAAATAATAATAATAAATATTGCAATTTAATTCCGTTTTATTTTGTTTATTTTTCACAACTGACACATTTCCAAATTTTAATGTTCGTCAAAAAAATTACGATCACAACTCGACAAAACGAATATTTCCATGTACCTTTTTTTCTATTCTAAATAGCTCTAAAAAAAATTAACAACACATTTTGTGTAATTAAAGACAATTTTTCTAATTTTGTTACTTCGTTCAAATTAAAAGAGGGGAAAAACTTAATCCTCAGAGCAGGGCCGGATTAACCTATAGGCACATTAGGCACGTGCCTAGGGCCTACGAAAAACTTGGGAGAAAAAAATTTTGTTGACAAAAATAATTTAGCTTTAAAAACAACAAGTGTATTTTGCACAAAATTATGAAGATACAAATAAAAATATAATATTTTTCGGTAATAAATTATTTTGCAGAATCTTATGATCTAATATATTACTTTTTTGCGATTTTTGGATTCAACGAAATCTTGTATTATGCTGTCGAATTCCAAACTACGCAAAATGTAAATTTGTAAATTAAAATCCATATTAATAAAAATGTTAAAAAAAAATATGCAAGAAAATTTTAGCATATATTTTGAAAAGAGGGGAGGAGTGGGGGAAGAAGGGGAGGCCCCAAAAACGGTTGTGCCTAGGGCCTACGAAAGGTATAATCCGGCTCTGCCTCAGAGATATTACATTAGCTTTCTGAAGCAGGAGGAGCATTCACGTAGTGCGAATTCCAATTCCATCAGTCTGATTGGTTAAATATGTCTGTCATGCTTTTGACATCAAACAGTGAGAAATAATAAAGTTAGGATAAAACGAAAGCGCGGCAAAAAAAGTGGGGGAAGGGGGAAACTCATGAAGCTATTCTTCATTTTAGTCGCTTTGGCTTAAAAAAGTTGCCGATTTTACGCAAATCATTGCAAATTAATTGTTTTTACTCATATTTCTACGAAAATAGTCTCCATGGTTGCTATTGCTTTAAAATAGTCGTTTCAGTCGCCTTTTTAGTCTCCAATGGCAGCCCTGTATTCATTACTTAAATACAAATTGAAAAAATCTTGTTACAAAAATTTAAATTGATAAATTAAGTATATAACAGCATACCCTATCAAGAAAACATTGAAAAAACCATTTCAATGTGTAAAGACTGCTGTGGATATTAAATTTCTCTAAATGCTTCCTAAGTTTTGGCAGGAACTTAGATAATAACTTATCATGATGCTCTTGAAATCTATTTAATTTTGGGAAACCTGGTATGAAGAAACCTAGAACAATGAATATAGAGGTATTAATTATGCTACAATAATATTTAGAAAATTGTTTACTATTTAGTAAGAAAGTAATAATTATACCATGCATAGCATGTTTCCTATCTGTCATTAAAACAGACAACGCCCAAAAAGCTTCCTAAAAATACACATAAAATTAAACACATTACACATATTGTATTTTACACAAAAAGGAAATAAAACTGTAGTCTATTTAAAAAAATATATGCATTGTAAACAATACTTTATAAATTTTTAAATGAACTTTTTATTTCCTTTATTTAAATAAGTATGTTAAAAAAATTGATTATAAAAAAAGAAAGGAAAAAAAACAAGTTCAATCTTATAAGTGCAATGGAAAAAAATTAACAAACAATTACTCTAACAGTTATTAATTAAAGTAGTGAAACACATGAAAATTCTGCAATTTGTATTTATTTTTAAAAAAGAGCTTACTAAAGTTCACATAAAAAACTTTAACAAATGCAAAAAACAGGTATGCTAATAAAGAATGACGGACTTAGAATTGAGTCATCGCATTGTTATCTAATTTCACATTTTCTTAATAGATTTTACTTTTGCCCCCTTTTTTTGCATTAAAATTTTCTGACAATTAATGTTTAGTAATAATTAGACTCCATAAATACAGTGGTTGGTGATGAATATACAAACTAATAAATTTCTCAATTTCGAATTTAATTTTTTTTAAATAATTAATATAATAACTTTCGTTATTGTAATAAATTTTAGGTTTATCATCAAGACACTTTTTTAAAACAAAATTATTTTAATATCTCTAGAACTCGAAATTCTTGCATCTCGCAAGAGTCTAAAAATAAAACATTATGNACAGTGGTTGGTGATGAATATACAAACTAATAAATTTCTCAATTTCGAATTTAATTTTTTTTAAATAATTAATATAATAACTTTCGTTATTGTAATAAATTTTAGGTTTATCATCAAGACACTTTTTTAAAACAAAATTATTTTAATATCACTAGAACTCGAAATTCTTGCATCTCGTAATAGTCTAAAAATAAAACATTATGGGAATGATTTAATAGCTTTATTTTTTTTTAAAATCGCAACCTTTATAACAGAAAACAAATATACTTGAAAGTTGCTTTCGTATTTTAAAAATTAAACTGGACCACTAACTTAAATTTTTAAATAAAACAATTGTTTAATTTTTTAAAAAAACTCCTAACATTTAAATTTAAAAAAAATTTTACATTACTTTAATTAAAGAAACACGTAGGTTAAAATTAAATTAAGGATGCCCAGAGTCTACTAATCAAATCTCAATGAAACTTAAATACACCGTATGTAGATTATGCAATTAAGGGTTTTATCAAATTAGCTCAATGGAATCGGAGCAACAAGTCAAGTATTGTTAGTTTAAGTTTAACAACCTAGTACTTTGTCTATCAAAATTTCGATCAGGGACATAGAGCTGGAGCTCAGACTGGAGATATTAACTTGAAATTTCCCATGCTCCAACAATTTCATTGTATCCTACAGGCGTTCAAAAGGCTTGCCGCATTGTAACCCCATTGTTCGCTGAATTGCTATAGCAAGACTTTTCTCGGCACTAAAATACACTTATAAGGACTTAAAATTAAATATGAAGGAAAAATTATTAAATTAAATTATTTTAAGATTGATCATATAACTCAACAATGAACTTAATTTTTACTTTCTGTGTAAGCTAATGATTATATTATTTTTTGGAATCTTTTTCATAATAAAAATGAAAATCTGAAATTCAAATCTCAAATATTAAGCCTTATTTGAGCCAGAGTATCGAAAATTTTTATTCAGGTCTCCGGTTTCAATAAATTGTTTTAAATATATATTCTTCAAAATTCAGTTAAATAATTTCCTTTCCCAGAATAGAAAGGACATAATTGAAGAAATAATTTTATTCAACTAGAAATTGATACTAATTGAATTAAACATATATATCGTATAATAATACACTTTCAGTTATCCTTCCTACATTAAAAAATAAAAACAGTGCACATTAATAGCAAATTAAAATAAGAATTTCAATAATATGATTATTTTCTTAGAGTAAGTTTTTAAAAATTATGTGGGCAACTATCTATTGAAACAAAATTCATCGATAGCACAAACAATACATGTTTTGAATTCAATACAATCATAAATTTTACTATTGCTAGACTAAATATAGAGACTATGACTGTAACTTTTCACCATGTAACCTAATTTAAATTAAGTTTCTCAATTAGATAAATAAATATTTAGAATTTTTTTTTAATTAAAAATATTTTTTACATCAAATTTATGAACATCCCTTTATTAATACATGCCAGTGGTACCTTTCACTGAAATAAATTAATGATTCACATTTTATTATGCGCATGCTTCATAAATTAAACTAAAAGTAATTTATATTGCATGGATAGTAAAAATGTTTTAAAAGACAAAATTTTATTCAATAAGCAAATGACAAATTTGGAAGTTCCAAGACATAAAATTCCAAGAAATTTTGACTTTGAATAAACAATACCAACACTTAAAAAAAGCTTTTAAACTGTAAAACAATAAATACCTCATCGCCCATAAACATTAATAATAATGCAGCAATCTGGCTCATTCCTTGGCAATAACCTACTTCCTGTAAAACAAATTAAATAGTTTTTCTCTAGGAATATAAATTTTACATAAAAACATAAACAAAATGAAAACTGAATAGTGAAAATACAAAATTCTGCAAGAATCTTGTTGATTACGGAGTGAATCTCTCTTATAAAAGCTACATTAACTAGAATTAATTTTTGTACAGTAAAAATTTTTTTAACTTCATAGTCAGGGCTCGTGAAATAGGGCTACCAAGTTGCAATTGTCGATCAAAAAATTTCAAATTGTGACTAATTAGGAAGTTTTAAAAGAGCCACATGGGTTAGAATTATTTTCCGTACAATAAAAAACATTTTATCTTCTTAGTAATATAAATATTCATAATAAAAAGCACAGAATTAGTAATTTTTTAGTTTTAACTAAAAAACAAATTATTTGAATAAATTATGTAGATCTGGGACATATAAGTCATAATTGAAATTAGAGATTTTTAAATCATGTAAATATGAATTCCAATAAACTATTATTAAAGCATAATGTCCAATTTCTACTAATTTGTTAATCGCATGAAAAAGACTCATAATTAAAAATGGTAAAAATATCAAAAGATAACATGATTATGATTATATATGGTTATTTATATAACATGATTAGGCAAAATAGCAAAAATTTGAAAGAGCCCTGATAAAAATTTCACAAACTTAAATATGTCATTACAAACTATATGATGAAAAAAATGATTTAAACCATCACACATACTTAATAAAAATTATAGAAAAAATAAATTCGAAGACTAAGAGATTACAGTTTTAAAATTACCTGGAAGCAAATTGTAATGAAATGAAAAGGATATTTCCCTTGAGTTTACAATCGATAAGGAATGCATTTAAATTAGAATATTAGATCATTAAAATAAGCAATAACCTAAACTAGTAATGTTTTTCTGTAATTTCTTAAAAAAGCTTAATAAAGTAATTTTAACTTTCATAATCAATTTGTCACAAGTATTTTACATAAAATGTAAGATTAGAAGACAAATATCTACACAGCTGAAAGAAATAAACCTTTTCACACATCATTTATCTTACTGAATGAAGTATTTGATGTAGAAAAAAGAATGAGATTCTTAATTTTTGAATAGAAGAGTGCTTTGTTTTAATATAGTTAAGAAAAGAAATCAAAATATTTAAGCAATTAAAATTAATAATTATACATTCAAATGGAAAAATGCGCTTAGCAGCAGTGAAACCAAGAGGATGATAATGAGACAATGAAGAAAATATGAAAAAATATGACAACCAAAGCTGACGTCGTCAGGAGGTACCAGCTTTGGATGTCATAAATGCAAAACTTTTTCTATCGAGAAAGCGAAGACAAAAGTCAAAAAATTGCTTTCTCTGTACTCCAAAAGTTTTTCAAAAGTCCAGGAAAAGAATGCATAAAATACAAAAAAACATAGTAGAATACAATATAAAATACAGAAGCATATACAGTAGAATTAAGACAAATACAGAAGGAAAGTAAGATAGAAACTTTCTTGAAATAAAAAATCCAATAACTAAAATTCACGCCTTAAAAATATTGCATAAACATCCACCTTGCCTTTAATCAATAAGTTTAAAACTTAAGAACAAAAAAGAAGTTCTATCTAAGATTTAGCATCGAGTAATGCAAGTCCAGGATACAACAGCATGAACCAATTTTCATTAAAATAAGAAAAAATTTCTGAAGTGTACCACAGAAGACAAAAAAATTATACTAATTGACAAAAATACAAATTCTCATAAAACTTTTAAGAGATTTAAATCATTGTATCCTGCAAACAAAAAAAAGTCAAGGTACAATATTTAAAATTAAGGTTAATTATGGGTAATTTTTCAAAGAATGTCAGTTTTCTGTTTCATAATTTTTGAAATTTCATGTTTTAAGGTTTTCTTATATTGAAGAAAGCAATATTAGATAACAGTACAAAGACAAAATTAGTTTATGAAAACAATGTTACATTAAAATGAGATAGTAAAAATAAATTAAAAAGAATGCAATATAAATTAGCTATTTTTTTTAAAAAAAATGAAAGATAATTAGAATTTCTAGAATCAAATAATATTAGGTTTATTCAAAATATTCTGATGATATTGATATTATTTCTACAACTAAAAAAACAAAACATTAATAGAGCTATCGGATACTACTAAATTTGTACTGCTATTGAAATATTAGCGCTTTTTTGGTAATAAAAGCAAAATAAAATATATGTCAATGTGCCAGACATTAGTAAATCTTAATTTAAAATTCATTGATGTTGTTAAACGTTGTCTCAATAAATTAAGAAATTTTCTAGAATAAAATTATTAAAAAGAAAAACAAAAATTGTGTTTAAAATCATCATTAAACCTGTGCCACAGGGCTAAGAAACTAGGCTATAACAAAATTCACTAGCTAACTTTGACAGAAAAGTTTTCATATGATTCTGAGTGCAATGAATATTAATGGTACAAATATAATTATGAGCGATATAAGCTGACCATAAAGTAAAGTAAACAGTAAAGAAAACTGCATCAAATTTGATGGACACATCCTCCTTGAAATCCAGTATCTTTAAATTTCAACTATGTAATTGGAACCCATATCAAAAACAAGCCCACACTAAGGTGGGTAGACTGCATAAATGAGGATTTCACAGCACTTAGAGTAAACAACTAAAAAACCTTGACAAGGAAGAAATCAGAATGGAAAAAGGTTCTAAAGAAGGCCTTGTCTTGCTGGGGAATGAATTAAGAAAAAGAAGTAAAAAAATAAATATTTTTTAGGCAAAAATTTTAAACTTAATTAAAATGAATACAAAATATTTATAAACACACTTAGCATTTATCAATTAAAAATATTCTTATAATATTTTACAAAAGAATTTCAATTGAAAATAAAATAATAATATAAACAACTTTAATCTGATATCACCTCAAAACAGTTTGATCAATTTTATGTTTCAAATTATTAAAAATGTCAAAATCTTCGTAGCTATCAAAAAATATTCCTGTATAATTATACCACTGTTAATATATATCAATAAATTATAGAAAATAAATTTGACGGGTTTATTTAGAAAATTAAAATTGTCACTAATTACTGGGAATAATTAATAATATCATTATTCAAAAATTATTTGCTTTATAGACCTTATAAGTTTTGAAGGGGTTGTCAGAATATTGATGATCTGATAAATATTTATTGAAGCATTTGAGCGAAGTAAAAATCATATGAGATCATATACAACTAATCATAAGATTTCTTATGACTAATTGTAATAATTTATTTAAATAAAGGGCAAAGATAAAAATATGGTAAAAAAATATATAAGCAAATTTTAAATGAATGCAGAAACACAAAATGAACTTACAGCATTATAAATGGAATATGCAGCTAACACTTGGAAAAGAGACTGTTGCCTGCAAATGAAGCAACAATGATTAAGAGAAACATTTTTCATAAATGTTTATACATAATCATTTTTCATAAAATATTTAAAGAGCTTAAAAAATAATTAAATTGCATAATAAAAACATAATATAATACATAATAGCCTTTTAGGAAACTCAAAATTAATTTCAAAATTTTATACATTATATAAGGAAAGAAAGTATAAATTGGAATTAGCATGTTCTATAGTATAATATTTTTTTAGCATTACTTTATTATTAAATTTTATCAGGAGCTGATTCATATTAAGGTTAAATTCAGATTTATTCTTTTTAATAAAATGTATTTTAAACTAGAATTTTCTAAGCAAGTTTAATCATCAACATGCAAACTAGTTATGATTAACTTTCTTCAAACCAAATTTTAAGAAATTTTGTTTTCCTTTTTGACATTTTTAGCTTTCTTAATTTGATGTATGAAAACATGGAGTACTAAAAGTGTAACTCAATCAAGAAATTATAGTTACATAATCGGAAGGTACAATGAAATCATTGCTCCTTATTTATATTTTTAGAATCTACAGTACAACCTATCCTCACTCTGTAATAACTCTCAGGGAGAACCGATTTTTCACATGAATTTGTCACAATTTAGTAATCCTCAAAAATGCAATTGATTGTGACCAAATGATTATTTTTGTAAAAAATGGGCATAAACTGTTCTTTCCCCCTTCTCGTTATTTTTCAAATTTTGCTCAGTTAAGTGTAAATGAAATGACATCTAACCTTTTTTTTCTGCTTTATTTTAAAAGAAAATTCTAAAAATATACATCAGGGTGCATAGCCAGATTTTTCAACAAAAAATAAGAACCTTTTAAGTACTTTTCAAGCACTCAAACAATACTTTTAATCACTTCCAAAAAAAAAATAATCTTAATTAGGATCTGTGTAGCAATAAAAATTTTAAAAAAATTTCCCAAACTTCACACAATCATGATAAAATAACTAGTTTCTGATAAATATTGCAGAGAAAATTTTGAAAAATCATGCATTTTTTTTATAATTCAGAACGACAATCGGCAAAGAAAAAATCTCTTTTTAAAAGATAGAAAATTAAGCACTTACAAACCCTGAATAAAATGTGATCAAAAATAAGCACCTTTAAGCACTTTTTAAAAATGCTATGCACCCTGATACATTAAAAACAGTGGTATTTGAGCAGTATAAAAAATACTTATTAAATGTCAGGAACATTAAAAAAAGGTAAATTACTTTGGTCCATATCTTTCACGAAACATTATATTGTTTCTAAATGTTCTATTTACATCTAAATCAATCTGCCTTATATCAGTAGAATATAATCGAGATTGTTGGACCATTTCCTGAAATAAAAAATTAAAATTAAAACAATTTTGTTGGCTGAAATAGAAAAAAGAGGAAGTTATTGATATACCTCATATTTTCCTTCTTGTTCCAATTTAATTTGAGGAATGCCTAATAAACGACACCAAACTTCACCTCTAACAGCATTCGGTATACCTTTATACACACGGTGTTGCAGCTACAAAAAATAAATAAATGGTTCACTATTAAACAAATTATTGAGGGTGTTTTGATAATCACAGCTCTTCAGTACATATTTTTAGAATTCCTTATGAAAATATAATTCACAAAAATGTACATTAGTCCAATCTGAATAGATATTTAAGTTGAAAAACATTATCAAATCACATAAGTCATAGAAAAACAGTTAAGTGTTATATAACTCAGTCTCTTCCCCCCCCCCCCAAATGGAATAAGTTCTATTTGAATTATATCTATCCAACAAATAAACTGACCTTTGAATATTTTAATATTTCCTTTGCTTTGAAAGTTTTTTTATAATTATCAGATTCTGAAAATTTTTGGTAATATATATCAGAAGATGTGATAATTAATTGCTGTTATAATTTAACAACAATTAAGATTGACTTTAATTTTATTAAATTTTAAAATAAATATAGAACGTTTTCAGTCGATTTGCTTTTTTTGCACTTTGTAATAACTTAAAAGAAAAACTAAGAATTTCTGGCACAGGTAAACTGATAAAGTTAAGAATCTATTTTGATAAAGTTTTCTTTTTTTCTTCTTCTTATAATAAAGCTGACTAAAATTTGGTACTGTGCTGTATAATAATCATATTTTTTCATCATATAGCAACAAAATAAAAAGTTAAGGTTCAGTTAAATCCATTTAAATTATGATATCAAAATAATTAAATCACACATTACAAGACACATTCAATCTGAAATAACAGAAGCTATACTGAAATGTTTCAATCAGAAAGAATTTTGATAACTTTCAACACAAGTAGCATGTCATCAAAATAATAAAACTAGACATTTCAAGATCCTATCACCAACATTAAATAAAAGAAATTGATGAAGAAAAATCAATCTAACTTTCTTAGATATTTCCACAGAAATAAAAAATTTCTCAGAGAGTTTGCTTGTTATCAAAACAGCTTAACTTTCTGAGATAAGTGCAAGATGTTTGAATATTTCCATAGAGTTAACATAAGAGAATCAGCTATTTAGAACTAATTTAACACAAGCAATATCTCTTGCAAGTTTTATAAATCGGTAAAAATTTATAAGAAAAATTTTACAATTACAAATAATAACATCGAAATTTAAAAAATAAAAATTGAAAAATTTGTATTTTAGGAATAAGGAATTTAAAGAACAAATCTATTAAATCTTTAATTCCACTTTTAGAGGGAAAACTAAACTGAAAATTATACTGATGGCAAGTTAAGAATTAACCGATTTTTTTTTCCGAACACAAATTTTACTTACACAATATAATGCCAAACACATAGACAATGAAGAAACATTGGTGCAAACTATATATATTAGTTGGTAATGAATACATGGTCTATACCAGTGCTTTAGATGTTAAAGATAATATTTCATTTTTAAGATTTTTATTTTTGATATATTTGAGCCTTTTTTATAATTTTTTTTTTAAGTGTAGAGTCCTGACATTTGGGGTATTTGAATAATGGGGGAATAACGTTTGCTCAACTCTTTTCAGAATGAAGCTTTTTTTCTTCATAGTTATTAGTAATATCATTACATTAATTTCTATGACGAAAAATGTTGCAATTACATTAGTAGCTCTAAGTTTGCAAATACATTAGTAGCTCTTGTAAGACGAGATATCGAAATCACAAAATATTTCTTCATGTCAGGTTCACACATTAAATTCTCAGATAATTCCCTGCTTTCTCCCTGTTTTGTGACCACTCTGAATTTTCATACATCTTCCCATTTTAAATTAATTTAATAACTTACAAAAGGTATTGGATTATTCAACTTTAGCTCAAAAACAAATAAGCTTAAGACTTAAATGTCAACAACAGAAAAATTAAGTTAATGTGAATTTAACAGTTAAAATTCAGTAACGGAATATGAATAAAAACATACTGTAAATAAAATCTAAAAAATATTGTAAAGTAAGGAAACGGATTATCCGNTAGACAAAGAAAGAAACATTGGTGCAAACTATATATATTAGTTGGTTATGAATACATGGTCTATACCAGTGCTTTAGATGTTAAAGATAATATTTCATTTTTAAGATTTTTATTTTTGATATATTTGAGCTTTTTTATAAATTTTTTTTTTAAGTGTAGAGTCCCTGACATTTGGGGTATTTGAATAATGGGGGAATAACTTTTGTTCAACTCTTTTCACAATGAAGTTTTTTTTCTTCATAGTTATTAGTAATATCATTACATTAATTTCTATGACGAAAAAAGTTGCAATTACATTAGTAGCTCTTAGTTTGCAAATACACTAGTGCAGGGGTGGCGAACCTTTATACACCAACATGCCATTTTCTCTAAAAAATTGCTTAATGAGGTCATAGATATGCCGTCAAATAATTTCATGTCTCAGTTATACACGTAATTCAACTTAAAGTAATATCAGTGTGACTTCTGTTGTTGCAGATTAGATGACCAATAACTTATATTAGGTTGTAAGATGTTAGTTTAAGCAGGACAGTTGATTTTTTTTGCTAGTTATTGATTGTTAGCTTGTTTTTTAAGGTTATTAATTGCTTTTTTAGCATTAATTTTTTTTAATTATAATTGTTTATTTTGTTTGTTTTTTGTGAATTTTAATTTAATTGTTACATATGCTTCATAGCGTAATAACATTTGTGTAATAACAATTCATAGTGTAACAACAATGGTGATCGGTGGAGTGCCCAAAATATTGTGTTGCGAACCAATGGCTTGCGTGCCATTGGTTAGCCATCCCTGCACTAGTAGCTCTTGTAAGACGAGAGATCTCGAGATCACAAAATATTTCTTCATGTCAGGTTCACACATTAAATTCTCAGATAATTCCCTGCTTTTTCCCTCTTTTGTGACCACTCTGAATTTTCATACATCTTCCCATTTCAAATTAATTTAATAACTTACAAAAGGTATTGGATTATTTAACTTTAGCTCAAAAACAAATAAGCTTAAGAATTAAATGTCAACTTCAGAAAAATTAAGTTAATGTGAATTTAATAGTAAATAGTAAATAAATTCAGTAACATAATATAAATAAAAACATACAGAAAATAAAAAATATTTTATTAATAAAAATCAAGAGCAGACACTAGGATTCTTTCAATTAATAACATTTGAACTTTAAAAGCTTTGTGATAATTACCTTTTCACTACCAGCATATTTATCCCAGTTTTTAATCATTTTCAGCCATTTTCCAACTCTTTCATTTTCTCGCTCACGAATCTAAATAAGACATTAACAATTTACAAGGAGCAAAACTAAACTAAACCAAAATGCAAACGTAAGGAATTAAATATTATAAATTTTATTCAATCAGTATTCATTCCAATAAAACAATTTTTCATTTTGAATTAAGATTTCTTAAAGGAGAAATGAATGAATCCAAGTAGCATTCAAAAATTATTAATTAAATACAGTTCACAAAATTTTTTTTAAAAAGTCAAATACAGAAAAACATATTCCACGCAAAGTTCTATTAAACAATGTGTAAGCTCTATTCAAACTAATTTGCATAGAAATCAGCATAATCACATGAGGAAAAAACAAAAATAGGTTTTAAATTTAATCAAAAACAGTGTTGGAATGGTGAAGAAAAAGTACCTTTGTTTCATGAGCTGAAAGCTTTTCTGGAAGCCTGTGATCACTGAAAAATAAATTACGAAAATGAAATATACTTTTACATATTAATAAAAGAAACACATTTACATGATATTTAAAAGAAAAACAATATATATGTGAGGCTTATTTGTAGTCTTTTTAAATATAAGAACAAGGGAAGTAGGGCACATCATAAGAATTGCATAGGAACCCATCACTGGAAATGTCACCTCTTAACCTCTAGGGGCACTTCCCTGTTATTGACTGTTTCTGCATGTGCCTTTGAACAGTAACTTTTATTTATCTCTTTTTTATGTTTTCAAATAATTATTGTTGAACAGTTTAGTATTAGATTTTTAATCCAATTTAGAAGATTTGGTGAGCTTGACAAGTTAGTTGCCAAATCTAATACCGAACCAATTTTAATGCTAGCTTAGACATTAATCATTCAAAAAAGTTGAAATTAAGATAATTTATATAGTAAAAAGTTCACAAACACACAAAAAGAAGTTTATAATAAGGGAAGCACCTCAAAAGGTGTATGGTGATATTTTCAGTCATGGGTTCCAATGCAATTGCCCTACCTCACTTAGAACTTCAGCTGTCTTATTCCGACTCACCCTTTATATGTTATAGATAAAGTAACAATGAGAAATATTGCCATTCAAGTGTGGACTAACCAAGTAGTCAGTTTAAGCACAAAGAATCTCCAAATCTTCCCCTCTTAACCATTTAAAGGTCTAATCAATCCCAATATGTTTAAACCCAAAGTTTTGATATAAAAATTTATATAAAGCATTATATTAGTAGATAATACATAAATAACATTTATTCTGCAAAGTGTTCATTGCCTGGTATTTCTTGAGCGTTAACCGACTAGAATTGACAAACCCCAGCTTTAACTTGTTAAGTTAAGGTTTATATTTCCTTCTTGCTTTATCGGAATATTTACTATCATAATAAATATTTTGGTATATTAAATTAGACTGAAAGCAAGAAAATATAAAGTAATTTTGAATTATGTAACCAGATAGAGTACAAAACGAAATAGTTGGCAAAACAGATGCTTGAGAAATATTCTGGCTTAAGATCATATCAAATTCAGATCTCTATAAAGTAAAGCCAGACAAGAACCAAACACGATCAGTATAAAAAGAAAAAGATGAAAAGGGATAGGTCACAAATTGAGAATGCCTCCGACAAGAATACCATCAGCGCTGACCGGACTGTGTAGGGGTCAGGGAACTGGCATTGCACCAGAAAGGCTCTGGGTTCGAATCCCGGACAAGGCATGGGTTTTCTTTCATTCTCTGTATTATCTGTCATTACTGAAGGTGCAAATTTTGTCCAACTTATATGGTTAGCCATGAAAGAGTGGTCAACAAATCTAGCCTGATTAATTGAAAATAAGCCTGAATTTACGAATGTTAACCCAGGTGGGCATTGGAGAAAAAAAAAGAATACCATCAGTATTCTTAACATGGGCACCAGATGGCAAACGAAAAAGAGGTAGATCCATGCTAACATGGAGAAGAAAGGTGGAACAGGAAAGAAGACGAGCTGGTTTGAGGCGAGATCTTGTGCAAAAGACCGAGTGAGCTGGCACAAGAAAATAAAGGCCTTATGTGCCATCAGCCACGAAGTAGGATAAGTAAGTAAAGTAAGTAAGCTGATATTGCAATATGATTAGCATTGCTATCAAGCTGCCTTCATTGTCTTGACTGACCAATTAATCTACAGTTTCGTGAGCTTCAAGCTGCCACCGGGAATCAATTAAATGTCTTTCTCAAGAACCTGTTTCTCAGTGTCATCATAGCTAATTCTAATATTTCTCAAAAAAGATATTGAAATTTCGAAAATGAAGAAAGAATAAAAATGGGCTTACTGTATAAATCCATATCGATCAGTAACATGGTAAACTTCTAGAGCTGGATCTTCCCATGAAAGAATTTCATTGGTTTCAGATCTACCTGCATCATATTTGGCTATAATAGCTTGATCATCATCACTGTTAAATACATCATTTTCATGACCATCTAGAATTTAAAAAAAAAAAAAAAAAACATTTATTAGTTAATTTTTTCAGGTCTTAGAAGACATAATTAATAATTGAAGATAATATAACTAACCATTTGCATATTATTTGCATTCAGCATATTATGCAAATTCAGCAGTTATTGCAAAAATAATGCAGTTTAGTTCAATATTAAATACTACTAACAATCAGATTTTTTTTTACACAGTTCAGCTTTTATTGTAGGATTGTTTTTACATATGTTTTACCATAATACTTCAATTTATCAGATACAAGGAATATATATGGATGTTTGATTATGGATCTTAGATTACTGATTTTTCCACTATCTACCAAGTTTAAACGAATCTTGAATTATAGCTATAATTTCAGTTTTTTTTTTTTTGAAAAAAATCAATTGAGATATAAAATAATTTGTGTTTTATAATAAATATCATTATTTACGAAGGGGTTGAGGTGATACAATAATGAATTATCTTTTTTTCAAAAGAAGATTCTTTTCACTAAACTGTTTTTTAGTATTGTTTTTAGACAGGTGCTTTATACTTTCTAGAAATTTCCTATTTATAACAGTACAATACACGAAGGATGCATTTTATTTCATGTAAGGAAATTGTGGCGCTTTAATTAAAATTGTTTTAAAAATACCCTTTTGGATAATTTGTAAAGATGGCTTTACTATGCAAGATCTACATATGTTTAAAAATACATGTGTTGACTTCCTGAAATTCTAACAGATCAGAAAAAAATTAAAATCAATGTTTAATTTCAATCACTTCTTTCATATGCAAAAGATAATCATTAAAAATACATAAAAGCGTCAAAATTATGATACAAGTTTTAATTATTTGTAGTGGGGTTCATTTTATGTTTAAAACTTAACATATTTTATAACTTTAAATTAGCTATTTTAATGTCTGTTGTTTTTTATAAGATAATTTTAATCAAAAGTATTGAGCTTAAATAAAATTATGTAAAAACACTAATAGAAAATAAAACTAAAAAAATTATACTAATTATAATAAAAATTAATGTTTGTTAACATCCATTCTTAAATTGTAGAAAGTCTAAAAGAAAACCAAATTTCATTTAGAAGCTTCAAAAAATGATACATCACATATTAATGCTTAAATTTTAATTCAAATTCAACATTAATTAAAAAGTTTTCTAAAATTAATTTACAACTCTACATCAGTATTACATAAAATTCAGTATTAAATAAAATTGATTAAATAAATAAATGCAAAATGAAATGCTTACTCATCATTCCTAAGAGCCAGATCTGGTACTGTTGCTCTTTTCAACATTCTATAAAACAAACAATAGATAAGCAATTTTTAATTAGAAAATGAACTTAACCATAAATTATAACACACTAAATGCAACTTTATTAAATTTCCAAGAGTTTGTAGTCGGACCTCTATATAATGAAGTCGCTAAATCCTGCAAATAAGTTCGTTATATGGAAAATTCGGTAAATGGAAAATTACCTTTTGAAAAACTTAAGCAACACAAAACAAGCTTTAAATTCATAAAAGCTAGACATAATTAAAATAGCAATTGATACACTTTTATCTTGTAAACCAGTATCTACTATTTATTTTATAAATCTTAACCACAAAAGAAATCTGCATGAAAAGCAAGAATAGAGCAAAATATTATCCAGTGTTACACTATCATGCTACATACATTTTCAACTAAAAAAAAAAAAAAATTCACGTATAAAATCATAGATGCTTTTATTGTAAAAGTAATTTTAAACATAAGCTACAACATGTGTTCTTAAGTTTAATTGCTACTAATAGAATCCTTTAATTTTGTCTGAGTTTTTCGTTTGAAATGCAAACAAAAAGGGAAAGGGATTTTAATGCTTTCTCTAAAAGTCAAGAGGTATCGAAAATCAATTCAAGGTAATTTCCCCTATAAATTGCATTAACAAGTTTGAAATGTTCTAAAATATTTTGGGAAATAAAGAAAGTGAATCCCAAAGAAAAGTTCGATAAATAGAAAATTCACATCGCTATTTGGAAGTTATTTTACAAAGAAACTTCCAAAAATTTCTTGGTTCCTAGAAAAAAATCGCAAAATAGAGAAATTCGTAAAATGGAAGTTCGTTAAATAGAAGTCTGACTGTATATATAGCTATTTCTAAAATTTAGTCAGCTATGCCTTTTAGGTTCATTCCACACATTAGGATGAATTAAAAATTTGAATCACATTCAAGTTTGTACATATATATATTTATATGTGTATAATATATAATATATACGATTTATTTAATATTTTGTAATTTGGCAACTTAATTACGAAAATATTTTTAAATAAAATTTTGCAAGATGTCAGTAAAGACATGAATGTCTGTTTTTGCTTTTAGTTTTATATTTCTACGTTCGTTTTATTTTGTATTTTCGTTTTATTTTGGAATCTGTTTCTTTTCTTTTTGGTACTTCTCACACTATTGTATTAATATATTTTTCTTTGGCTATATTATTACAATATTAGAAAGCACTATTTTGCGGATATAATCATGTTAGCTGACAAGATTATATCTTCTCATTGCTTTACTTTCTCCCATTCTTTTTAAATTAAAAAAAAATAATAATTATAATAATTTTTCTAATTCTCTTTTAAAAAGTGTTTTTAATTTTTTTCTCTCTTTGTTTTGTTAGTATTTTAATCATTATATATATTTTATAAAAGCTTTTTAAACATTCAGATAAAGCAAACATAATTATCACATTACAACAACACGATTTTGCCATTCCATGAATAAGTACTTACTGTAATTATTGAGAAATAGGTATTAGAAAAAGCATCGATTCACATATAAATATCTTATGAATCTGCCACGTTAATTTTTTATAAATTTTAATATTTACTTCTCAAATAATTACGAATGAGTCCTCAAACCCTATCTCTGTGGAATAAAAAAAATTTTACCAATAACTTAAATAATTAAAATTTTAATCACAAATGGTTTTTCATATTAGAAGTGTAGCCGCTCTTTAATATGTATTTAATTTCTAATTAAGGTAATTATTTGTTTTAAAATTTATAAATTGTTATGAAATATCCTAATTTTTATGAAATTCTTTGTTTCACATTTCATTCTCAAAACGAAAAGAAAAAAAAATTAAAACGCCGCTAAAGTAAAGAAAAAATAATATCAATGAATATGAACCAAATAATAAAACCGCATAGCCATAATGAATTCTCACTGCATTTCGTCAATTGGAAAGGTTCCGATTCATTAACGTTTGCCAATGACCGAATAGATTTACTCCTTGCCAATGTACTCTCGTTTTTTTTTTATTCTTCATTTATTTAAGTCTGGTGTTGGTGTTCTATTCAACTTGACCCAGGCAGGCGGTATCCCATCATTGTTCTATTGTGACTGCTCTCTACGCATCGCTGGACATAAACAGCGCACTTCTTCAAGATCATCCTAGCGTCTTCTTCACTGAAGAAAGGATCTGCGCCTCTCTTCAAGCTTTACCAATATCAACGTTTGCAAAAGTAAATTGATACAAAAAAAAGTTCAGATAATGAGTGGAATCACTTCAAAGAAATACTTCGTTTTAAATTTATTTGAAAATATCAATTTTATTATGAATCAGGAGGTGGTATAGGCAAAAAGGGGGCATAAGCTTTAATAACGTCAGAAAATGTGTCCCTTTCAGGATTCGTGAATTTTTTTTTCGATATTTTTGTTAAAAAAAACTAAATTTGATTTTTTAAAGGTACTTTAGTTTGCAATAAATTAAATTTTACAAATATACCTAATTAAAAATTAAAATTTATTAAAAGTCAATCGTAACAATACATTTCAAACTATTTTTTTGCATTAAAAATCGATAAATGCTTGCAAATGAATGATTTAAATTTATTAAAAGGGAACAGAATTGCATCAATATCAACAACTGAAAAAAACTTTATTAAAAAAAAATCACAAAATTATCCTTTATAATAAAATAATCCCTTTACGTTTTAATTCAAAATTATTTTATACAACAACTGCAATAAATTTTCACTTTGTTCCTAGTTAGCATTCTGAATAAAGATTTTTAAAATGTCTTTTCAAAAGAGCTGTAATTCAGTTTCCTATTTACAATATGTTTTAAAACTATGAAGATCAATAAAAATTTAAGCAATATTACATTACATAAAAATGAAATTTTTAGATCAACGATTTTTTACGAAACTCGTTTGATTTAAAATAACTTTTCTTTCTTTTTTTTTTTTAAAAAAAAAATCAGTCGATTCAAAACAACGGTTTCCGTTTCTTTTAAAAAATCAGTTTATTTAAAACACAATTTTATATCAAGCTGATTTAAATCTTGGCTTCTTGCGCTTCTCTTGGAAATGTTTCATTCCTTTATAAAATATTTAAACTGAATTTTAAAGAACAATACACACCATCTGATAAAAAAGATTGCTATGTTAATTTTTGTTACGGATTAGATAGAGAGTAGCATTTGTCATAAGAGGCCGGCATGTGTCAAATGTGCTTGTGCACTCTCCGTTTCCTTAGAAAAATTCTATTTTCCCATTACTGTATAGAAGAATTAGTCACAGATCTTCTGAAAAAAGTTTATAAGCCTTGCGTATTCCCGATAAATGTACCCTTACTATTTGATTTCGGAGAAACTGTATCTCCCTTCAACAGAATTAATGAACTGATACACGTAAGGTACCAATGCAGATTCTAACAGATGTTTTTCTTCGAGAAGACAAACATTTTAAAGGAGAGAAGGAAAGTATAATTTGAACATGATGCACATTTTTTATTAGATTTTTTGAGACTCACAAGCAATGTTTTACTGAATATATCAAAAGAAACCAGATTTGAAATTCATAGATTCAAAATTTTAATAATGTAGTTAGAGCAATAAATTAATCATTCCTATAATTTTGTTAAATTTTAAGAGCTAGATTCGCATGTATTTCGCCACAAAAAAAAAAATTTAGGAGACTATTGCTTGCCAAATACACAAATAAATGTCAGTAATTCGGTTGTGCTCGTCGTTGAACCGTATACTGGGAGTAAAATTAAGAATATTAAAATATAGTAAAATAAAAACAACAAACTAATAATTCCTGTAATTTTGTTAAATTTTAAAAACTAATTTTAAATGTATTTTTACAGTGTTCACCATAAAAGAAATTGCAAGAGAAGAACCATTGTGTCAAACACAAAAAAATACACAAATAAATGTTAACTTGGTTACACACGCCATTGAAGTGGGGGAAAAATAAAAAATGCTTGAAAACAAGACCATAATGTTTTGAGTCTAAATATAGCTACTTCTTGAAGTGAAAAGGAACACGCACGTCACATCAATTATTTGTAATATTTATATATAGCTTGCTTTGTATTGAAGTAACTGGTAAATTAACGTGAAAAAAATAATTATGTTTCACACTTTGATGTAGTTTATATAGGCACTCGTCAAGAGTTCCAATATGTCATAAATCACGATAGCTCAAGTTAAAAAAGGCAAGGATATTTTAAATGGAAACTAAAGAAAGAATTTATTACTACACGAACTTTATCAGTTCCAAATATAATTCAATTATAAAATTTATATTTAACCTGACACAGTGAAACAGGATATTCAGTGGCTATAAATATAGATTGAAAATGGATTTTATCCAACGTATTAATTAACGGTAAATAAAAATAATAACCTATTATAGAATTGATTATGACACTAAAACACAAGGCTCTAGTCTGGAGCATTTTAATATTTGGAATCGCATTTAAACCACTCCTTCCAACAATTTTCTTTTTCTTTTTTTTTTTAACATTAGAAAATAGAAAGCTATAAAGAACGGGAGAAATTTTTCACGACTAATTCTGTTTCACGTCCATTAGTAATTTAAAATTTTGAAAAGATAATTCATGTTAACCGAGTAAACCAAAAATTTTCAAATACTTGAAAAAAAAAGGTTCAAATTATTTTTGAAAAAAAAATTAATTTTCAAACAATCAAAATGCAAACAAATTATGGCATACGAATTACTTTTCTACTGCGAATTATCCACGATTCAAAACAAGATGACTGGAAAAACATGAATTTTTCTTACTTAAAACTATGTTAAAAAACTAGATTTAATTTTTTTCTTCTTCTTTAACGTCAAAGTTTCTGACAGAAAGTGGTCAAAATTTCTATTAGTGAGTAAAATTTATTTGGCGATAAATTCTGCTTGATGAGTTTATTAGGAAACTCTTGAAACTTGTATAGCCATTAAGTAGTGATCTTCATTTGAAATTTAAGCATTTTAATTAACCGAAAAGTGTTTGAAAT